GGTTGATAGACCATACCCACCTGGAACAACAAGGGAAGGCACTACCATGGTGCCATAGATGTCTCATGAGCTACCCGGGGGGGAGACGGGCCGAAACTATCGAACACATTTTCCTCCAATGTCCCGCATCGGTACTATTGTGGAGAAGTTGGAATAGGATTTGGCGACACATAGTTCCTGGTGAAGTATGACCATGGGATTGGAGGGCCCTACTTTTGGGGTATTACCCTCCAATCCGGGGGAAGACATTTGAGGAAAACATGTTCAACCTAGGCAGACGGAGTGTGCTATGGACTATATGGTGGAAAAGATGCAGTCTGGAGATAGAGGGGGCGCGGGTGGAGGACGGTGAGGCCATGGAACAACGAACGTTGGTTCAACATGAGATTGCGACTCAATGGAAGACAACTAAAGACAAGCTTGACCAGATGTCTTCCCGGGGGGATATGAACAGGATCATCTCTACATTCTGCAAGGACTGGCTGGGAGGAGAAAGGGAGGGATGGGTGGCCGAGGTGAAATGGACCGGCCGCCGGCCAGAGAGGGAATCACCGGAGGAACCCCGGACGGAGATAGTAAGAGACTATCAGCTGGTCTTCCACGACTGGACCAAGATAGACCCCAGCTCCCCGCTACGACCCGCGCAGGACTTCGCAGACCCTTTCCCACCCCATCCGCTGTCCTTAGCAGAAATTTCGCTGTCTGCATGAGCCCTGGAATCCTCAGATCACGCTTAGATCAGGCTTGGTCTTCTGGGTTTCTCAGATCACGTTCAAATCATACTTTTCTTATTCTGGTCATTCTGTTTACTTCTGGTATTTCAGTTTATTTCAGTTTTCTTCAGCCTAATTCTATCCATCTCTTGTCGATTCTGGTAGCTACAATAAGACGCCCTGGGGTGAGTGGAAGATAACTGTTTCTTCTGATGCACTTCAATTTCAGTCTGTGTATGGGACGCTGGACCCGTTTCCCAGCAAAAAGAGAGAGAGATCTGAAGCAGTCCGRTGGTCCTGGAGGTGGGTCTGGGGGATGGGGCGCTGTTCTTTTTGGGGACGCTGAGCCCGATTCTCAGCATACAATCTCTCAGTATTTTCTCTAGGAAGAGTCTAATGCTCAGCATATTGACACAATAGGCGTCCTGTGGATAGTTGGTGGACGGCAGGGGTGAGGGGATGGAGGGAGACTCCACTGGTGCCCCCCAGTGTTCCCCCCCAATACCCGACCCTGCCGCAGGACAGTTGTGGAAGAGTAGTTTTGGATATGAGACGCTGGACCCGGTTTCCAGCACAATGGCGTCACTTTCAATGATGTACCGTTTTGTAAAGATGGTTCTAAGGGACGCTGGACCCGGTTTCCAGCAGGTGATGCTCCCCACCAATAGATGGAGCGGCCCGCCAGGCAAAGCCTCAATCCCGGTGGTTCTCTTACCACCACCAGGATAGAGGCCTTGCAMAAAAAAAAAAAAAAAAAAGGTGGGGAAACATACACAGACGAAAGAGAGAGAAGGGAGAATAGACCTAGAGTGGAGAAGAAACAATGCCCACTTCTGCTTTGGGCTCCCTTCCCAATCGCCACGTCAATAATCAATAGTCCAAAGACTCCAAACACAAATCTGAAGTTCTATCTCAATGTGCCACGTGGCACGTCAACCTGTCATCATCACCGAGCTGGAGCAATGTCGACATCGAGAGACCAGGTACAATCGCCCCACAGTCTTGATCTCCGTCCGAGTGACGATGAATCAGACAGCAATATCAGACACGTAGCCCTGCCACGTCAGCAAGGGCAGCAGCCACGTCAGCGGCGGCGCACGGCAGCTGCCACGTCAGCATGCCCAGAAGACAATTGCCAGCCAGCCACCATACCGAGCCAGCAGCGCGTTGCTGTAGTCGCCGTAGTCGCTCAAGTGCCAGCGTCGAGCCATCGTCCCAGCCAGCATCGCAGCGTCGCGCTAGCGTCGTAGTCAACGCGTGAAGTCAGCATTGACGCAAGAGAGAATGTTCTCCCAGCCAGGTAGTCCAGGCTTATGTAGTGTTGACACGAGGTCTGGACCCTGGTTGCTGCTTCCCTAAGCTGTCGAGATCTCAAGACAAATAGTGGCTCAGATTTGCCTGAAACCGAACTCCCTGTGGCCTTGATGCTGTCCGGGTACCTGCACACAACAAGTGAATGTATCCGACCAAGGGCCTGGGCGTGGTACCTTTGACAGTTGACTTAGACTTTTGACTTTCCTAGGCAGTGCGTGGTCACACTGCCTGGCGCAGGCCGAGTTTGGCCTGCGTCGTCTGGGCTCCATTTTGAGGGCCCAGACTGCTGCAGAACACGGGTTACTGCATGTCAGTCTGTCACTGAAGCCTTGATGTTGGAACAGCTCAGCTCTTTTTTCTTTTTCTTTTTCTTTTTTTCTGCCACAACCGTTTTTTTTTTTTTTTTGTAGTGCTGGGAACCGGGCACAGCGTCCCATTAGGAACATTTGGAGAACATATACGGAAAAAACTCGATCATGCAGCAGTTGATTTTTATTACTGTCGGAACCAGTTCAGTGCCAAACAGACCTGTTTAGTACCAGTGTGGTACTGAACAGACATGATTTGTACCAGACAAGGTTAGTTAGTACCAGTTTCGTACCAAACAAACCTGTTTGGGACCAAGTGGACCTGCTTGGTACCAAACAAGCTAGGCCAAATGATGAGCTGAATAATGGTATACAATAACCTCGGTTCCGTGACAGAGCTACTTGGCATAAATTGCAGACCAATAGCAGAAGTCAGCTTAACTGAACTCAATGAAGCTGACTTTTGAACACCTTGTCATGGTCACAGCAATTAAGGCAGCTGGCTCGACTTCTGAAAACCACCTCACAATTGCAGTATGCGAATGCGAATGTGAGAGAGAGAGAGAGAGAGAGAGAGAGAGAGAGAGAGAGAGAGAGAGAGAGAGAGAGAG